AAAACTCTCGACGTCTTCTTCCTCAGTGCCGTGATACAACGGTATGGCACTTATTAAGTATGTCGCGCCGCGGGACCCTATTGGAGCGGGTTGTTCTGCTGCGGCTTCGGGATCGGCGTCGGCCCGCCTATCGGCTCTAGGGCATGTGCCACCCTCTTCCGTAGTCGTATCTACCCCAGCAGTAGCCATAGTTACTTAATTCTAACTTATGCTACTTCGACCGATTTTCTTACTTTTTCCGTCTTTCTTTATTCTAACCAACCTTTTGTTAGCTACTCCAAAAATCCTCGAGACTGCGCCAGCTGTAACAGTTTAGCGCTCAGGTGAGCTTAATTGTTGGAGTTTCAATTAAATCCAACCTGTACACCTTATTTATTTGTTGGAGGATTTATCGTGACGAGTGGAGCCACAAGTTGCTAACTCCAGGAGTTTACAGTTAGAGTAAAGAATATGAGTCTCAGACCGGCAATACTATTTATAATATCTTTTATTACTCTTTATTACACTTGTCATAATAGTCATATATTCACTCTTTAACTTGTTACTTATTAAAACATTAACAACATTTCTTTTACATTGAATAACATATAATACTAAAGCTGATCTAGAGAGAGAGATACTTACTGGAGAGTTGGGAACCTTCTTTACTGAGTCTAGGTTATTCAGCTGCATAATGCTGGCTGGAGACTGGCTGGAGATCTGGGTATTTTCAGAACTCGCCGGAGGAACTCACTTTCTAGTTCCAGACATGGGTTTATATAGCAGGATTTCTCTGTATCATTGGCGAGCATCCAAATAGGACACAGCATCACCCACAAGTAGTGCAGTGCTCCTATTGGATGCTTGGAGGCAAGTTTTGGACTGGTCCAGCACCACACCCAAAAACCCTCGAGCTATTGGTCATGGTCGACTGCTGTTAACCGGCTGCCTACTTGCCTGTACTGCTACACCCATGTACTATAACTAATACTGCATCAAAGCACCGTGATGATTCATAAAATCTAAACTTTTCTGTAGCTTCTACAGTGCTAAAGAATCGAGGACAACATCCTCTATCCTATCCTTGTACTTTATCGTGCATGTGCAGAACAGTGATGACTAACGAGGTGGTTGACTGCCTCTACTGTGACCTAGGCCACTAACTTCTATACTTGTTTCAAAGTTTAGGCACGTGCTGTGCTATTACTTACTAAGTTCTAGCCTCGTTCTTGATTACTTATCTCTCAAGGCTTATTTTTTATAATACACAAGCATCTCCTTGTCCTCTTTAGTTTTTTATATGTCCTTCGAGTTGTTGACTCGTTATTTGTCCTTCGACCTATTTATTCTTTTTCTATCTCTTAAGTTTTCATTTTAATATATAACTTAGTTAATTACATTTATTTTATTCAAATTCACAGAAGCAATGGATGAAATTTCCTCAAAAATTTCCCTTTGCTTCATCCCTCCTTTCTTCGGAAGAATTTTGTTATTTATAACAAAATTCCTGCTCCAACTCCTTCTCTCCATCTCTCTATATCAGTGGAAAATACACTGGTACATATATGGTATATATATATATATATATATATATATAAACTCTTACAATCCTATGCTTATACATAATATATATATATACAAAA